ATCAAAAAAAAAAAAAAAAGTACCAAACAAACAAAAAGCCATACTTCAAGTATCCATACAACCGTTCTGTTTTTCACCTTCAGTATTCAATAAGTTACATGAGATATTCAACACTTTATTATAAAATAGAATTTGTGTTAGTTGATTTTACCCAACTATAGGCTAATTTTAGTGTTCTGAGCACATTTAAGTTAAGCCAGGCTAAGCTATGATGTTCAGTGTATTAGGTGTATTAAATAATTTTTTCCTCCCGAAATGGGGTCTCTGTTGCCCAGGCTGGAGTGTAATGGTATGATCATAGCTCACTGCAACCTCTAACTCCTGGGCAGAAATGATCCTCCCACCTCAGCCTCTCAAGTAGCTGGGACTATCAACTAATTTTTTTTTTTTTAATTTCTGTACAGACAGGGTATTGCTATGTTGCCTAGGCTGATCTCAAACTCCTGGCCTAAAGTGATCCTCCCACCATAACCTCCCAAAGCCATGGATGTACAGGCGTGAACCACCCTGCCCATCCTGTAAATGCATTTTTAACTGATCATATTTTCAGCTTACAATGGCTTTATTGGGATGTATCCTCATTGTAAGTGATGAGCATCTGTATACTGTTTATTTGTCCCCACTGCGATATAAACTTGATGAAGGCAGGAATTATTTTCTGTTTTGTTCACTACTGTTTCCTCCGTACCTAGAACAATGCCTGGCACTTAGAAGGTGCTCAGTAAATGTTGAATGGATGCATGAGCGACCATGAATCTACTTGGGAGTAAATACTCACATGACTCTCCAAGTGCACTGTGTGTTCATGCAATGCTTAGAGGTTGGGGCAAACTATGAGTATGTGTCTACATTTGCATATATTTCTCTGTGTGTTGATGTGACTTAATGTGTATATTTTGAATGTTTCTGAAAGTGTGTGTGTGTTTGACTGTATCAGTGGCACTGTGCCTCGATGGTTCTTTGCGTGTCTCAGACTGTGAGCACGTGTCTGGGAATGAACATGCTACGCGCACACATACATGAATGTGGGAGGCTGTGCCTGGAGTCTGTGTGATTGGGCTCTGTGTGATGCCCATGTGACGTGGCTGTGTGGCTCTAAGTGTGTGCCTGGGAGTTGTGTTCTGTGTTGGGATGCTGTGTATTGAGGCCACATGTGACTGAGTATGACTGTGTTTCTGTGTGAGAGCGATGAGTCCGATGATGGTGTGTGGTTATGTGGGGCCCTTGTGTGCCTGGAGTGGCTTTGTGGGACTGAGCATGCCTGCATATTTCTGTGGAGAGCGGGCGTGTCTGGGACTGGGTGGGTAGGGTGTGAGTGTGCGGCTGGCTTGGAATGCATGCCTGGACTTGGATACGTGCCATTGTGTGTGACTGTGTGCTACGTCTGTTCTGCATGGACCCACGTGACCATGAGCAGACACCGCAGGCAACTGTGTCTGTGTCTCCCCTTGCTGGCCAGGCTCTCCTCTAGAGGGTGGGAGGGCAGCCAGGCTGAGGCCTTGAGGGTAAGAGACAACTCCGGGCCCAGGGAGGTGGTGCAGATCGACCAGTTCCTGAAGGAGACAGCTGCACGGGAGGCCAGCGCCAAGCTACGACTGCAGCAGTTCATTGAGGAGCTCCTGGAGCGGGCCGACCGTGCTGAGCGGCAGCTGCAGGTCATCAGCAGCAGCTGTGGCAGCACTCCCAGCGCCAGCCTGGGTCGTGGAGGTGGGGGCGGTGGCATTGGCCCCAATGCCCGAGGCCCCGGCAGAATGGTGAGTGCCCACCTGCTTCTCCTCCTCCATCTGCACACCTGGCCCCCCACGACTTCCCCTTACACATCGCCTGACCTCCCCATGATGCCCTATGCTTCCCTTCTTTGGCTCTTCCCCCCCACGAGCAAATTCCAAGCCTAAAGTAGGGGTCCAGGAATAGGGGAGCCCTTCTGACTGGGGAAAAGTGCCAGCCCCTGAGGTTGTAGTGAGTCATGATCCAGCGGCCCACTCCCCTGCAAATGAGAGCCCGGGAGCACAAGCGGGGGCCAGGGGTGCTGGGTGGGCTTGGGGAGGGGGCTGGTGACCCTGCCTCTCTGGGCTGTCTGTCTGTCCATTTGTCCATCTTTCCCAACTTTTTCCGTCTCTCCTCTCCCTCCTTTCTTCTCTCCACCTGTGCCCTGTTTCTCCCGCTGTTGCCTCCTCATCCTCTTGCCTCCTCTGCGCCTTGCTTTCCCCAACCCCCGCTCTGGGGGTCCGCAGCGAGAACACCACGCGGGCCCGGCCGTGCCTAGCACATACGCAGTGTCACGGCACGGCTCCTCTCCCAGCACAGGGTAAGCCTCGGGCCTGGCCCATCCCACACAGCCCACCCTCGCCCTGGAAAGGTACGCTGGCCTGCCAGGGGCTTGTGTCATCCTGCTGCCCCTCCCCTCCTTGGGTCACCTGTGTCTTCCTTTTCACATTCAGAGGGGACTTTTGGAAAGCAGGGTGGGTGGGTGGCCCACAGCTGGTGGTAGGGGCAGGGTGGGGAGTTCCAGCAGGTCTGGTGCCCCTCACCCCTTACTGTCCGGTCCACCCTGCCCCAGGGCATCCAGCCGTGTACCAGCCGCATCTCAGAGCTCAGGCTGCTATGACAGTGACAGTCTGGAGCTGCCCCGGCCAGAGGAGGGAACCCCTGAGGACAGTGGCCCTGGGGGCTTGGGCACACGGGCTCAGGCGGCCAACGGGGGCTCAGAGCGGTCCCAGCCCCCTCGCAGCTCAGGCCTGCGACGCCAGGCCATCCAGAACTGGCAGCGCAGACCCCGCCGACACAGCACTGAGGGGGAGGAGGGTGACGTCTCGGACGTAGGCTCCCGAACCACAGAGTCAGAGGCTGAGGGCCCGTCGGATGCCCCCCGCCCCGGGCATGCCATGGCTGGGCCACTGAGCAGCTACCGGCTCTCAGGTAAGTCTTGGGAGGGTGGGCAGAGAGGCTCACCTTTCCCATTGTGCTGGGCCCTCTCTGAGGACACAGAGCTGAGGCCGTGAATCTCCTGGGCTCCTGCACCTCCCTTCCCCTTTCCCTAGACTTGCCCACCCCTCATACACAGTGTCTTTCACACCTGGCGCAGGAACTTGTGTGACAGGGCAGGGCTGCAGTGGCACAAGGATGCTCAAGTTGCCTGCTGCACAAGAATGCCACATCCAGGGGAGTCCTTTACATGATGGGCTCATTAACATTTATAGGAGAGGAGTTGAGTGTTGACTGCAGACTCTGAAGTCCCTGGCACAGTTGGGGAGAGCCCCTTCCCATATTCACAGAAGGCCAGACTGCTACGTGGGTGGACTAGGAGGTTAGAGGGTTGGGTTTAAGAGTGTCATTGCACCCCATATGACTCTCGCCACCGCCAACCCTTGTCCCTCTCCAAATCTGTTACAATGCCTCACATAGAGGGTGAGTGAGGGCGGTTGGGTGCTAAACCACCTTGAAAAGAAAGTTTACATGAGGAAGGGACACTTTTTTCTAATTTGTAGAACAGGGAATGGAGATGCTGCAAAGTCAGCAGCGGCCCCTTGTCCTTCCTCCCGGGGCACTGGTCTCCCAGCACACCCGTTCCTCCTGCACTCCTGCCCTGTCCCAGCTCCCCACTCACATCTCCATGCTGGCCTCGACCCCTCACACTCACCTGTGAACCCCTGGTATTCTGCAGCCCGCCCCGAGGGAGGCAGTGGGCGGGGGCGGCGAGCAGAGAGGGGCAGCCCCTCACGCTCCAACGAGGTCATCAGCCCCGAGATTCTCAAGATGCGAGCTGCCCTCTTCTGCATCTTCACCTACCTGGACACACGCACACTGCTGCATGCCGCCGAGGTCTGCCGGGACTGGCGCTTCGTGGCCCGCCACCCTGCGGTCTGGACGAGGGTGCTGCTTGAGAATGCCCGCGTCTGTTCCAAGGTGCCTTGCCCCTGCCTGCTGCCCTGGCCCTGCTGCGAACCCATCTTTCCCCTGGGTGGAAGCTGGTACCTCAAGGCCTGGTCCTTGCCACCCCTGCAACACCGCAGTGCCAGCCCAACTCCCTGAAATGCTCTCATGGGGCCTCCTAGCCTAAGGCTGACCCACCTCCAGCTAACCAAGCTCAAAACCCCTCATCTCCTGGTGCCCCTCCCCTCCCCACAGTTCCTGGCGATGCTGGCTCAGTGGTGCACCCAGGCCCACTCGCTGACGCTGCAGAACCTGAAGCCCCGGCAGCGGGGAAAGAAGGAGAGCAAGGAGGAGTATGCCCGGAGCACCCGGTGAGGCCTGCGGTGGGTGGGTGGTGGGGGCAGATACTTCTGGATCACAGGTCTGGGGTTAAGTGAGGCTGCTTCCCGGAGGAGGAGGTGGCCGTAAGCTCTCTGACCTCTCGCACATCCCCAGGGGTTGCCTGGAGGCCGGGCTGGAGTCCTTGTTGAAGGCGGCCGGGGGCAACCTGCTGATCCTGCGTATCTCCCACTGTCCGAACATCCTCACAGACCGTTCGCTCTGGCTAGCCAGCTGCTACTGCCGCGCCCTGCAGGCTGTCACCTACAGGTGGGTCCACCCCACCAGAAGCATGACCACGCCTTCTCAGCCTGGGCCCCAAGGGATCCAGGCACTGCATAGCCTTCCCCCAGAGTTCTTAGACAAAGGGACCCAAGAGTTCTGTGGCCCAATAGCAGGAAGCCCTGGCAAAAGCATGAGGCCATCTGAGCCGTGCTCGGTGGCTCAGCCTGTAATCCCACGCCCTTGAGAGGCTGAGGTGAGTGGATTGCCTGAGCCCGCGGGTTCGAGACCTGCCTGGGCAGCAAGACCGCATCTCGACAATAAATCAAAAAATCAGCCGGGTGTGGTAGCGCATGCCTGTAATTGCGGCTACTTGGAAGGCTGAGGCGGAAGGATCGCTGGAGCCCAGCAGGTCGAGGCTCCAACTCAAAAAAAAACCAGAGGCCATCAAGGTGGGTGACTCTAGCTTTGTCTTTCCAACAGGAGTGCCACAGACCCTGTGGGCCACGAGGTCATTTGGGCCCTGGGAGCAGGCTGCAGAGAGATTGTGTCCCTCCAGGTGGCACCACTTCATCCCTGGTGAGCCTTGGCGGCAGCAGCTGGGAAGAGACAGGGTTGGGTCTGGTCTGGGGCTGAGGACTGAGCAAATCTGAGCCCGTTTCCTAAGCTGTTGGGGACACAGATTCATTCACACGTGGTCTGTGCACTGAGGCATTAGGAGTGGGGCTTTGGAATCAGACCTGGGTTATGTCCTGGCGTACTGGCAGTGTCGCTTTGGGCAACCCGGTCATGTCTCAGTTTCTCAAATTGCAAAGTGAAGAAGATATTAGGAATCCATGGAGCTGCTTAGGGCACTTGCTGGCCCAGATGAGATCATGCACACAAAGCCTGCAGGCCCTACAGTAAGTGTTCAGTAAACACCAGCTAGAAGTAGCCAGGCTACTGTGGCGTGTGAAAGGCTGTTGAGAGAGGTCGGTGCAGACTGTACAGAGGGACTGGTTGTTGAGGGATCCGGGGTGTGAAATCACTGCTCACTCAGCCTGCTCCTCGCTCCCAGGCTCCTTTACTCCCTGCCTCGCCCTTCACATGACGGCTCCCCACAAGGTCATCCTGTGTACCTTCGCTGATCCTCGGGCAGAGCGTGTCACTGCTCCTCTGCCTCAGTCCCCACAGCACCTTGTCCTGACCCTACTGTCATCTGTTTTGCAGCAATTTCTCTGTATTTCAATCTCCTCCAAGAGACTTGTGGTTCTCAGGACAGAGTCTGGGCATGTCCATGTCCATTTCCGTTTTCCAGAGAGATGTCTGTTGCCTGGGCGAATGTGAAGAGATGAAGTGTTCAGGGAAACAGCAATTCGTGTGGAAAGGAAGGTTGGGGCAGAGTTGGGAGGGGCCTTGCTAAGGAGCTTAGGTTTTTGCATTTTATCTAGAAAGTGCTAGGAAGTTATTGAGGGATTATAGATTTTAAGAAGGTGATTAAAATCAGACTAGTAATAAGTGCTTTATCTGTCCCCCACCCAATATATTGGCCACTCCTTGAGGGCAGAGACCATGTCTGTATTGTCACCATTGTATTCCCAGGCCTAGCTCAGTTGTTCTTGGCTGTCGTAGATACTTGATAACCATTTGCTGAATGATAGAGTGGGTGGAGGTAGGAATGAGCGACTCACTGTCAGCAACGTGGAGGATGAATTGGCAGGGAGATGAGGTATAACCCGGAAGGCTGTTGCTGGTGGTCTGAACCATGGATTCAAGAGTTACTCAGGAATCTGAATCTGCAGGACTTGGCAGGAGAGGAGTCAGGGATGATCCCAGTTTTCCGACTTGACCAGCTCGGTTGTTGGTGGGACACTTGCCCAAGGCAGAGAGGGTTCCCAGAGGAGGAACGTGACTGGGTGTCAGGGGTCCAGAAGCTTTGCTGACGGCTCCCCCTCCCCATTCTCCAGCCAGCAGCCCACACGCTTCAGTAACCGCTGCCTGCAGATGATTGGTCGCTGTTGGCCCCACCTCCGGGCGCTGGGGGTTGGGGGCGCCGGCTGTGGGGTGCAGGGCCTGGCATCACTTGGTGAGTCTTTCTTTGGGACCAGGGTGGGGGTTGGTGAGAAGCAGCCATGGGTGCAGTGCTGCCCTGGGAAATCCCACTGGAGCTGAGGGCTGCAGCTCCGGGGGTGGCGAGGCCCCAGGGTGCTGGCCAGGAGTGACCTGGGGAGCTCATCCACGGGGCCTCCCTTCTTCCTCTTCCTAGCGAGAAACTGCATGCGGCTGCAGGTCCTGGAGCTCGACCATGTGTCAGAGATCACTCAGGAGGTGGCGGCTGAGGTCTGCCGGGAAGGCCTAAAGGGGCTGGAGATGCTGGTGCTCACGGCCACCCCCATCACCCCTAAGGCCCTGCTGCACTTCAACAGTGAGCAATAGGGGAATGTGGGGCAGGGTATGACCGTCACCCATCCCCGTGCCCTGTCAACGGGTAGCATAACCAATTCCCTGTTGCTCTGATCAGCAAGCACCAGTGTTGAGGCAGTCTGACCAGGGCTCCCAGTCAAGGCCAGAGGCAGGAGGACAGACAGATTAAGAACATGAGTTCTGGAGCTGGACTGACCTAGGTCTTAATTCCGGCTTTGCTACTCATTAACTGTGTAACTTTGGGCAAGTTACTATACTTCTCTGAGTTCTGTATTCCCATCTTGCAACTTTTGCTGACTTTCTCTTGGATGGGCCTGGCGTCACTTGGTGAGGATTAAATGAGATGATGTGTGTAAGCCCCCAGGACTATTCTCAGGGTGGAGACTCCTCTCTCCCTAACCTGCAATCATTCCTCATTTGGTCCCCCACCTCTCTCAAACCACCCACTCCACTATCAGTCACTCCTCCGCCTTCACTGAGGACATGGGTGCCCAACTCAAGCTGCTCCCACCCAAATAAGACCACCGTCCAGGACCCTCCTCCCCCTTCAGCCACATGGTCATGCCCTGGACCTTCCTGACTGCTAAGCCTCCAGCTTCGTGGTCTCCAGGCCTTTCGTGCCTCCTGACCTTCTTCCTCTACCCACCCGCCCGACTTCATATGCTATCCAGTTCCTTAAACTTTGTTTGCCCATGCCTCTCCCTCCTTTGTGCTCCAGCCTAGACCCACAGCCTTGCCTCAGCCATCCTGTTCCTTGCCACTCATTTCCAAATGTCCAGACCATTGAACAAGTGTCCCCTCTGCCAGTGGAGTTCCTAGAGCCCTTGGACAGCTGGCTGTTGCCTGTGCATTCTCCCAGAGTCCACCACAGCCTCTCCCCTCCTCACCCTCAGGGTCTTCCTCCCTCGTCCAGTTGTGGACTGCTGGGGGTGGAGGGTGGGTCTGCTCTCCTCCTTACATCTTCGTGGCTGACACATGACTGCCTCTCAGGGGATGTCTGCTTTCGTTACCTGGGAGAGGAGAAGGGGCTGCCCCATTGCCCAAGCCAAACATGGGCCCCCTCTTACCTACCTTTTCTCAGGCATCTGCAGGAATCTCAAGTCCATTGTGGTCCAGATAGGGATTGCTGATTATTTCAAAGAGCCCAGCAGCCCTGAGGCCCAGAAGCTATTTGAGGACATGGTGACAAAACTCCAGGTGAGGGATCGGCTCTGAGGCCAGGCGAGACCACAAGCGGCATCCCTAGACCAGGGCTGGCAACCTGGGTGAGTGTGGCGGAGGGCCCACCTGCCTGGCTTTGAGGGAGAACTAACCCAGGCTTTGGTCCACAGGCCCTGCGGCGGAGGCCCGGCTTCTCTAAGATTCTGCACATCAAGGTGGAAGGCAGCTGCTAACCCGGGTGGGGGGCGGCAGGGCCCCTGCCAGCCCCAGACCAGGGCACTCTCTTTGGACCTCCGGAGGGACTCTGATTTGGATCAGACCTTCGGGGGCCTAGTGTTATCCTGCCTTCCAGGGAGGGGTTGAGTTTCCTGTCCTCCTTCTGGAACAGTGGGGCAACAGGCCTGACCCAGGGTACTGCCTCCCCAGGTCAGGGGCTTGGACAGAAGCTGCCCTCCGACCCCCCCCACCCCCAGCTGGAGCAGCCTTCTGGCACAGCCAGCGAGGAGCTGCCACCACCAGCGCCTGGTGTCATCACCCGGAGGATCTGCAATAACCACCCAGTGGCTCCTCGGCTGCTCAGGCAGGCCTCTCCTTCCTAAGGCCCAGCCTCCTGGTCAGGGGCATCTGCCAGGCCCCAGGCCAGATGGGCCTCCACAAGGCAGCTCAGACTTGGCAAGGAGGGCTCTTCTCCCCCTATCCTGTCCCAGCCTTGGATGGGGCACGTCCTTCGAATGGCCTGACTAGGCTCTGGATCCACATTCTCCAGGGATAGCACGGGCAGGCCTAGGGGCCTGGGCATGTGGTCAGCCAAAAGGGGCAGAGGTACAGTGGGGTAGTTGGGCTGGGTTTGGAAAGGAAAACAGTCACCTAGAACTCTCCAGAATGAGACCACCCTTCCCAAGCTGGGGAATTACCATGGGGAGAAAACGTATTTATTGTGGTAAGAAGACAAGACCTCTCTTCCACCCACCCCATATCCTACCACACACCAGAGCTCAATTCAGAGCTAGAAGGTGCATGTTTCTGTACCTACCATTCATTCCTGAGAAACCCTCTGGAGGGTCAAGGTTTTTCCCTGGGAAGCCCTGTCAGCACTGAGAAGTCCTCAAAGAAGTTCCTTCTAAAATAGGTGCTTGGGCAGGAATTTGATGGCCCTTGGGTTCCCAAGGCTGCCTGGGAGGGAGGCACTGGGCTGCCCTCTGTGCTGAGGCCTGGGGGAAGTTGGCAGGAGGGTGGCTTGCTTTGCTTCTTTGTCTAGTTAGCTTGCTTGAAGACATGACCTTGGCAGGGAGACAGACCTGTGGGGCCAAAGAAGAGGAAGAGCATCAACAGACTTGCTTCCCCTTCCTCAGTCTCCACCGGCCCCATAGGCTGGGGGCTGCGTTGGGGACCTTCTGCCTAGGGGGCAGGACTGGGGCCCGGGCAGGAGCCAGTTGGCTTAGAAAGCCACAGAATGCCAGGGGGGCTCTTTGCTGGCCCTTGCACAGTCTCTAAAGGACCAGGTCTCAGCACCAAGGCTCCAAAGACTGAGGCTCCCCAGTTCCTCCCCAGAACTCCCACAGTGGCTCAGCGGCCATGGGTCCTGCCAACCATCACTTGGAAAGTTCTTTCAAACATTCAAACTAGATCTAGCTTAGGGTTTTCTTCTCTTCTGGATAGAATGGGCTCCCAGCCCTAGCTATTAGGCTGCTGGTCCCAGTTGAGGATGGGGTCCTCTTGTTTCCCAGTCCTTCCCAGGGACTCAACTTTTTGCCATGACCTGGCTTGGATGAGCATCAAGGCCCAGCCCTGGGTTACCTTGTAACACGTCGTCCAGAGCTGGGACCCCATAGGCGCAGCAGCATCCCCCGCTCCCCTGGCTCCACTCCCCAGCTCTGTCCCTGCTTTTTATCATAGCTACTTTTCCTCCTGTGGCTTGTTATGCCCCTGCCCTTTGAAGACCTGAAATGCCGAGAGTGTCCTGCTGGCAACTTCCTGTCCAGTTCTGCACAAAGTCTTGGCTATATGAGCCACCTCTGCCTCCACCCCAGAGCAGCTGGCTCCATCAGCTCCCTACCCCCAGCCCCATCCTCAGGAGTCACAGGAAAGAGCACAGCTTTCCTCTTCTCCAGCAGCCTGGAAGGGAGTTGGAGGACTACTCGGGGCCTGTCTGCCCTGGGTTTGTCTGCCCTGCCTTGCCAACTGCACCCCAGTAGCTCCTGTCTGTGCCCCATGACCCCAAGACCAGAGGTGCTGCCCCCACTGTCTCCTGGACAAAGCACAAAAAGATGTCCTGCCTGGCCTGAGTCTGCCCAACTGAGGGACTGTCTCTGCCCCAGGGACTCTCCATCCCTGAATACAAGGCTCTCCCTTGGTGGTGCCTACTGGAATGTCTGGCATCAGCCCTCAGAAGGAGGTTAGGGTGCATGGGCAGTGAGCTAGGGTGGGAGAAAGGTGGTGCTGAGAGGATTGATGCTAGTCATAGGCCCATTCGTTCATTCAGTCATTCATTTGTGCAACAGTCCTGAGCACCACCAGCACTAGAGGCACAGGGTGAATAAGACCTCTTCTGTCTGGTGGGAAGTCTACCACCCATCGGGTTAGCTCTTTCCCAGAAACCCTCTCAGTCTCCACCCGGTTTTCTGGCTCTGTATGTGAAGGCTGGGTGAGAATACATGTTACGCAGGCCCAAGCCCCTGAACAGGAATGACAGGTCACAGCGTGTCCCACTGCACACATGTCCCTGGAGCTGGCAGACTTGTGCACTGTCTCCATGCATGCCCTGAACACAGCTTTGCGGCCCCTGCCCCCCAGCAGTCCCTTGATGCCGTTCTTTGTTCTCTCCTCAGGGGGAGGAGCCCTGGGGTACTGTTGCTTGCTAGGATACTCCATTCATTTCTCTGGCAACCATACAGCTAGGGCTGAGGATGGAAACGGAGAGGGCCTCGCCAGCCCTAGAAGCACCTCATCCCACCGTTACCTACCCAGAGAAGCCCTCCTCCATATCTCATACCTAGTAAGATGCAAAGGAGAAATATCTGAAAGTAAGCCAAAGCAAGCCTTGTTCCAGGGGTCCCAGGTATGTGTAGAGGTCCTATGAGGGGTGGCCACTTGGCCTCTCCACCATCTCTCCCTGCCACACAGTCTGGCCGCATCTGGGAAGTAGGCATATTTGGCTTAAGTATCCATGCTTTATTCAGGCTGCTTCCCCACAGGACTGGCAGGAAATAAAAGATGCGTTATGTACATGTGTGTGTATGTATACACACACACACACACACACACAACCCTGTGGGGACAAAGAGTGGGATGCCTAGAACTATGGCTTTTCACTGGCCAGGAGAGACCACCTAAGGATCAAGGCTCATGGTAGTTGAGTCTGAGCAAGCCCCTTGGGAATTGCCTCAAAAAAAAAAAAAAAAAGACCTCCTTCTGAAGTTCTACTACTCCAGGGTTTGGCTCCTTAGCTTGCCTTTGGGTCCTGCCTGGCCCCCTGGTCTTGAATTCTTTGGGCCACAGATGGGAACTGCCCAGTTCCCAGTCCCTCTAAAGCGCAAAAATTAATGACTTTCCCAGTGAATATTGGTGCCAAAGTCCCAGTTTCTGGCGGACTTGAGGTGAAAACAGGAGAGATGGTGATTGCATGGCCCGAGTGCCCAGAGAAGTTAATTTGAACCCACAGGGTGTGTCCCAGCATATCCCTGATGAGATTAACTTCCCCACACTGGGTCCCTGGCCCATCTTTCTACCCCAGTAGCCACACTGTCTCACCCAGCCTCGCTCCAGGCCTGCATTTCTGTATATATTGCTGTGTATTGTGTGTATGTGTTTATTCCTGGACAAGTGTGTGCATCTGTAGCCCTTGCCTGAGGACAAGGCTTAGGACTGGGTGAAGACTAGGACACCAAGGCCAGCTACGGCAACTGCTCCCTCCCCAACCCCTTGGGACCTCAGTCCCAAGGCTGCCCTGACAATCAGGCAGGCTCCCCACCACGAGGCCAAGCTTCCTCTGCCACTTCCACCATGGCGCAAGTGAGGCTTGGCCTTGGGCTCCCCAGCCTCAGCTCTGCCCTGGCAGGGGCCTTGTATCCAGGTGCAGGGCCTGAGATGACCCAGGTTTCCTTGCGGCTGATGCCAGCAGGCTTGGTTCCGGTGGGCCCTGCTGGTGGGGACCTTCCCCACTGGCCCCTAGGCCTGCCTTCCCGCACAGCCAGGCTGCAAGGGCCTGGGCAGGAGAGGGTAGCTTCCCCCACCCCAAGCACAGGCAGGGGGTGGAGAGCAATTTTTGGTTTTACTTTTATTTCTAAAGTGGTGCCTGTACCTCCAGCCCCAAGGGGGCCTCCCCTGGCCCCACTTCTCTGCCCCACCCAGGCATCACCATCCCAGCACTTTGTTCCATGTCACCCACAGATGCCCTTTGCCGAATGTACTTGAGCGTATGTATTTAAAAGGACTCACCTGGGCATCAGAGGATTTAGAGCTCTGTATCCAATAAAAGATGGTGAAACTGGTATGTCTGCCCTAGGGAAGTAAATGGTATGTGACCACACTTGTCGTCTGTGTCACCACAGCCTTTCTGTAGCTCAAGTGCATGGGAGATAGGTAACCCATCTGATATCAGAGAGGTGAATGAAATATTAAGAAGACTTGCCTCTGGACTTCAAAAGTCATTGGAAAAAGGCCACCCAAGTTAGTGGCCCTGCCACAGCTCAACCGTGTGTGTGTGCGCGCGCGCATCCAAACAAAAAGCCATCTTCCAAAGCCCAGGACTAGGACAGGAGCAGCAGGCACTGTCCCACCCCTCCCTGGCTTGGCCACCTCAAGAGGCTCTGGCCAATTGGGCTTTGACCAGGGAGACCAAATTGCTATCGTGGCCTGCCTTGACCTTACCATTTTAAAAAAAGCCCTTACCCCATTGGTTTGACTGCTAGAGTCCTGAAATATTTAGCCCCTTGCACTTGGAGGCATCTCATGGATCCACCTTCCAGCAACTCAACCACTTTTTTACAAAATGGTGAAAAATGAATCACTTCATATTACATAGTATAGTGTTGGAACCAATTATTTTATTGTAATGATACTAGCTTATAATGGAATCTTGAATGCTGATGAACTTTGGTTTGCTGATTTACAATGTCCCCTCAGAGGGGACATCTGAATGTAAAGGGCTAAAATCAGAAAAAGGAACAGGTGTTTAGGCTTAAACTGTGGCTTTAACATCAAGCAAGTAGAATGAGCATTTAAGTCTCACAACTGAGCCAGCTACTCCTTGGACAGGTGGAATGGCTGAAGCTCAGAAAAATGAGTCTACTTGAAGACCATCAAGTGAGGAGGAATGCCACGCTCCATAGCCCGGACCCGCCACTGCCCTATGTGCTGCTGAGTCCATCTAACCAAGAGTGGCTGTGCTCAAACATTTTTAAAAATCACTTTACCAGTAAACATTTCAGTGGCTCCCAGTGACATAATCACTTACCTCCAGCTTTAACAATTACCAACTACAGCTAGCTACAGGCCAACAATCTGGACTAATGTAAACGAGGAGGATGTTAGACCCTGCTGGATGTCCAGTCTATCTGTGCTGGCCATTCCAAACTTCCACTGGTCACAAGAAGGCAGAAGAATACCCAAGATCACTTGTGGGTGAACTAAAAAGACTAGTTGGGTGATCTTTCAGCTACCTCCTTAGTGAGATTCTAAGCAGTCGTCAGAGGTTGGAGAAGATGAGGCCTCACTAAAACACCCCTCTCAGAGCCCTTAACCTCAAATTCTTAAATAAAAGGGAACAAAAGACTGAGCCAGAATACAGAGGTAGAATGAGCAGAGACAAGGTAACATAACCCATTTACTTAAGCCAGAGAAACCCTGGGAGCAGTGCCTGGCTCAGCCAGGGCTAAATAAGATGTCAGAAAAAAAGGAACAACTCCACATCTCCCAGCCACACTGGACCTAAGAAGGCAGCCAGAGCGAATCTTCCAGGTGGGCCATTCTAGTGAAGCTCACCCTAGGGTGATCTGTCTACCTATTAGGCAAGTGCATGCAAAACTCAAATTCTGAGCTGCAGCCAGACATTTATAAGTAAAACAACTATGCCCGAATCATTCACAAAGTTAATTCTGAGTCTTAAGTTTTATTTAAATAACCTCAAGGGCAACAGAGTGGGCCAATTACCACCCCTTTCTTGTAACACCAATTAACCAAACCGGGAAGAATGAGTACAGCGTCTAGCCAAGCCAGTCATGTGAAGGGTGGGATGCCTCTCAGTGGGGGCGGCCTCGGCCTCGGCCTCGGCCAGCTGCTGGGGGAGCATCCACAGTTGAGCGGGGATTCTTGATGGTTTCATCTACAGACACGATCAAGCACGCAGCCTCAGAGGCTGCTGTCAGGGCATTGATGCGCACCATAGCTGGCTCCCACACAAAGGCCTCAAAGTTGTCAGCAATGTCCTCATTGTTGATGTCCACTCCATACCACGTGCCCCCCTGAAAAAGAAAGGAAGTTAAAAAAAAAAGTTCCTAAGCCTGTAATCAGTGGCTCAGCCTGTAATCCTGCACCTTTGGGAGGCTGAGGTGAGTGGATTGCCCAAAGCCACGGGTTTGAGACCCGCCTGGGCAACTTGGCGAGACCTCATCTCTACAATAAATCAAAAAACATTAGCCGGGTGTAGTAGCATGCACCTGTAGTTCCAGCTACTTGGAAGGCTGAGGCGGAAGGATCGCCGGAGCCCAGCAGGTTGAGGCTGCGGTGGCTGGGAGCGACCACTGCACTCCAGTCTGGGCAACAGAGTGAGACTCCAACTCAGAAAAAAAAAAAGTTCCCAGATTTCTTCTCGTATCTCAGTACACCAAAAGACTCACATTGTTAGGATCCTCAGACTCCCTGAACCCCAAGGAAGACTGCATCTTCCTGTGGCATCACATCAGGGACGTGGAAGTATTCCTACTCCTGCTAACTCACTTCCCTCAGAGCCTGGACATACAGATGACCAGAGAGCTCAAGCCCTCTCTCAGGCAAGCTATTGTGCTCTGGGAAGGTCACCTGAGGACTACACATATCAAACTGAGTTCTCAAGAAAAACAAGAATGGATACTTTCCAAAACACTTTTCAATGTCTCATCTCATGGCTTCAATTAAGTATCACTTTACAGATGAGGAAATTAAAGCACAGTGGTAAAGTAACTTGCTTAAAATCCAAACACAAGCCAGAAGCAAGGTCATTCACTGAGTGCTGCTGCCACACTGCTGAGCACTTTACGTATCTTTTTAACAAATGGAGAAATTAAATTCTCAGAGAGATGGAAGAACTGTAACTAGCCCAAGGTCACACTTGGAGGTGGTGAAGCCATCAAGAGCTCAGCACCAAGATGCATGTCAGTGTGTGCCTCACAGCAGAAGGCTGCAGGGTTTCTCTCATCACACTCGTGGTAGAAGCTCTGAAGAACACTGGACCAGAAAGCCTCCTGGCACTGTGGCTTTCCCTCTGCCCTTGGAGGAGGCAGTTAGTTAGGTAGTTGGGCTGGGAGGCATTCTAGTCAATTGCCTGGGCTGCACTGCACAGCTTGAGTAAGCACAGCACATGCTCAGAATCCAACGCCATCCACCCAATCCCTGAGCCCTGAGGAGAAAGAGGACTCACCTGGGCATGCCGAGCCCTCAGCTTGTTGAGGATGTTAGTGGCATCAAAGCCAGCATTGTCACACAGCTGGCGTGGGATAATCTCCAAGGCTTTGGCATATGCCCCAATCAACAGTTGCTGTTTTCCTGGAATAGTCCTTGAGTAATCCCGCAGGTACTTGGAGAGCTCCATTTCGATGGCCCCGCCACCAGCCACCACTGAATCATTCTGCAGAGACCAGACCACCTCTCAATGTAAGTGAGGCCCTGGCCCAAGCTTCAATTTAGGCCACTGGGTAGGTTCTTTAGTCCAGAGAGTGGTTCCTCATTCCTCCCCCATCTCAAGCCCCAGAAGCCCAGATATGGCCTCTGTCTAGAGTATTCCAACTTCAACTCGGTGAACCTTATGGTTTCTGACCACCTTCAAGGTCACCTATAGCTTGAGGGTACTGGCAAAATCACCGAGATGGCTGACTACGTCAGCCCAACAATCTGCCAGCAAGAACAAATCTTAGTTTAGGCAGCAAGACCTATTTTTGAGAGACCGAGGTTCAGTTTCCCTATAATTTGTGGGGCAAATCAGGGTCACCTAGGAAGGGGAGGTTATATAGGGAAGGAATCACTACACAAATCCAAGGTCTGATCAGCTAGAGGTAGAGTAGACTGTGGAGGTAGGAAATCATTGGCCCAGTACCTTGATGGCCCTCCTGACAATCATGATGGCATCATGCAAGGACCGCTCTGTCTCTTCCATAAACTGCTCGGCACCACCTCGGAGGATGAAGGTACATGTCTTGGCCTTGGGGCAGCCAGTGAAGAAATTGTACCTACACCCAGGATCAAATGGTACATACATGAACTCACTGCCACATCCTCCCAACATTCAGCTGCAGCTCTCACGTTCTTCCCTCAGGCTGCCCAATCCCAACCTTGAAAACATTTTCTTGGAAAAGTCTGGGGCTGTACCACTACAGCATAGAAGATTGTGGAATCAGAGTTTAGACTCAGATCTTCTTCTACATACATAGTAACACTATGTATGTCTGAGTTCGTTATGCCCAAAAGGTGAGACCTTGAAAAAACAGTACAAGTTGTACACCACAGACAAAAGATGGCAGCAGGCCAGACCCACACAAGTCTGTGACCCCAGCCTATAGGAAGCCCAGGCCCATGGCTCACCTCTCGCCTCCAATCTGGGTCTCTTCAAACAACTGGCAGCATCCTAGCACATCTGCTGACAGAGCATTCACACTGGTCTGGATTGAACCTCCACAGGCCTAAGGAGCAAGGAAGGCAAGATCTAACACAGAAGGTTCACAACAAGGCCAGTCAGTTTCCTACCTCCTAGTCTCAAAGCCAATTCCCATGCTGGACTCTGCCAGTATCCCAGAGCCCTCTGCACTAGGTAACCTGCCCTTTCCCTTGACCTCCAGGTAACCCTTTTCCCTCTCTGAAAGAGTAGAAAACAAAATAGAACTAAAACACATGGCAGGCATACAGGCCTGGTTAAATGGAGATGGAAGCCGGGCTCGGTGGCTCAGCCTGATATCCCACACTTTGGGAGGCTGAGGTGAGTGGATTGCCTCAGTCTGCGGGTTCGAGACCCGCCTGGGCAACTTGGTGAGACTTCATCTCTACAATAAATAAAAAAAGCAGCCAGGCATGGCAGCACGCGCCTATAATTCCAGCTACTCGGAAGGCTAAGGCGGAAGGATCGCCGGAGCCCAGCAGGTCGAGGCTACAGTGGCCGGGAGTGGCCACTGCACTCCAGTCTAGGCAACAGAGTGAGATTCCAACTCAAAAAATAAACAAACAAACAAACAAATAAATAAATAAACGGAGATGGAAACCCCTTTGATTCAGCTTATACTTCCTTCTCCTCCCAACTAGCGTGTTTGG